ACACTCCGGGGTGGACACGCGGTCCCTCCACCAGCATGCTGCTGGCGCCACAGACTCCAAACCCCAAACCAGTCTTCTTTTCGGCTCAATAGAAGCGCACTTGCTAAAAACACTGCCGTGGAAGTTAGGTCTCCTTGTTTCCCATTTCCTAGCACCTCACCCAAACAGCCCGAGGGCCAATTTTGGTATTTTTTGCACCCATCTGAGAGGTGATAACTTGTATCACAGAGTATCCTTAAATTTGTATTTCTCTTAAGAGTTTGATCACCTTTTCACATGTCTGAGAACCATCTGTATTTCTTTTTCTGTTTATTGTTCATTCATGTCCTTTGTCCATTTTCCGATTCAATTTCTTTCTCCTTTTCTTAGTAATTTCCAGGAGTGCTATATAAATGAAAGAAATTAGTTCCTTGGTGATAGGAGTTTTTCATTTGTCTTTGACTTCGCTTATAGTTTTTTGTTTTGTTTTGTTTTGTTTTTATGTTGTTAAATCAATCCTTAGTGATGGTATCCAGCTTTTAATCAGAATGACCTTCTTTACTTTAACAAAGGAATTTGCACAGGTCAACTGTTATATTTAATGTGCTTTTTCATACAAGCTAAAGATAACAGATGCATAAACAAATTTAATTTTTTCCCTAAGTCCTTTTTGACTTGTAAGTCCACAAAAATCATAAAATGATTCTAAGCTAGATGCTTCGAGTGCTCACCCTTGGTAAGCAAAATTTTGATACTATTTTTAAAAATATATTATTTAAATGTGTTTTTATTGATTCTTTAGAGAGAGAAAGGAAGGGAGAGAGAGATAGAAGCATTGATGTGAGAGAGGTACATGGATTGGCCGCCTCCTGCACGCCCCCTACTAGGGATCAAACCTGCAACCTGGCATGTGCCCTGACCAGGAATCGAACTGGTACCTCTCAGTCCATGGGACATTTTAATCCACTGACCACACTGGCCGGGCTTGATGGTACCTGTATTTTTTTTTTTTTTGTACGTGCCCCTAGCGGGAACCGAACCCGGACTCTATTGTCCACAGGCCGACGCTCCAACTGCTGAGCCACACCGGCCAGGGCAATGGTATTTTTAATGTCCTCTTTCATTGATTTGACTTTTTGGACCAAGGAAGGATAAAATAATATTATTTTATGATATAATGAAATGTATGCAATACTTCATAGAAGGTTCTCTTAACCTCCAATCTTGCTGGAAATGAAAGAATGTCTTAAAGTAAATGAACAGTGAGATGTAATTACACACCTATCAAAGGAATGGCTAAAATAAAACAAGAAATGAACTCCGATAGGAACCGCTGGCATGCATTGCTGGTGGGACGGTGAGCCACCCTGGGAACCAGTCCGGCAGCTTCTGATAAACACGCAATCACCACATGACCCAGCAATGTTACTCCTGAGTATTCACCCCAGACATATGACAACTTAAGTTCAAATAAGAACAACGGAAATGTTCATAGCAGCTTCATTCATAGTCAAAAACTGAAGCAACCCATGTCTTTCAATGTGTGAATGGTTAAGTACCCACGGCTATCCCTTTCGAGGTGTGGGGACCCACTACGAACCCCAAGTTGGCATAAAGATTACTTTAAGCTGAAGACAGCCCCCCATGACGATTTCTCAGCGTGTCCCTGCCCCTCCACCTCTGCTCCGCCCTCTGCAACCTTCCACAGCCCCCCATGACGATTTCTCAGCGTGTCCCTGCCCGTCCACCTCTGCTCCGCCCTCTGCAACCTTCCACAGCCCCCCATGACGATTTCTCAGCGTGTCCCCTGCCCGTCCACCTCTGCTCCGCCCTCTGCAACCTTCCACAGCCCCCCATGACGATTTCTCAGCGTGTCCCTGCCCCTCCACCTCTGCTCCACCCTCTGCAACCTTCCACAGCCCCCCATGACGATTTCTCAGCGTGTCCCTGCCCCTCCACCTCTGCTCCGCGCTCTGCAACCTTCCACAGCACCCCCATGACGATTTCTCAGCGTGTCCCTGCCCGTCCACCTCTGCTCCACCCTCTGCAACCTTCCACAGCCCCCCATGACAATTTCTCGGTGAGTCCCTGCCCCTCCACTTCTGCTCTGCCCTCTGCAACCTTCCACAGCCCCCATGACGATTTCTCAGCGTGTCCCTGCCCCTCCACGTCTGCTCCGCCCTCTGCAACCTTCCACAGCCCCCCATGACGATTTCTCAGCGTGTCCCTGCCCGTCCACCTCTGCTCCACCCTCTGCAACCTTCCACAGCCCCCCCATGACGATTTCTCAGCGTGTTCCTGCCGGTCCACCTCTGCTGGCACTTGTCCTGGCCTGGATCGCGCCCTCTGCTGTGCTGCCAGGCCACCCCCATCCGTCCGCATTTATTCAACACTGGCAAGTTGCTGGCTTCTACTGTCCTGACCCACATTTCTTAACACAGATGCCCTGTCTCCCCAGTTACAATTGCAATTTCCTCAAGGTCAAGGACCCTGCTGTAAACTTACAGATCCCTAAGATGGATCAGAATACTCTGCAGTGAGCAAAGACACCCCCAGCCCTGGAGTTAGTGGTAATGGGTTCTGCCTGTGTTTACTGAGAATTTACAATGTGCCAAGAGCTGTTCTGAGCACTTCACATCTGTTATCTCACCTAATACTGCTGCTCTCCCCACTGTGGAGAAAAGAAAACGGAAGCACAGAGGGGGACAGTGTCTTGTCTAAGGTCGTACTGCCAACAGGTGGCACAGAGCATTCCGGCTCCAGCGGCATGACTGCAGCCTGTGTCCACTCGTGCATGGACACTTTCTGTCTGGCTACCAAGCTCTCCCTACCCAGATGCCAAATACACGCCTAAAAGAGCGCTGCTGCCTCTGACGAGCGAAAGCTGAACCAGACTTCCACCGAGTCTGGCAGCCGGAGGAACCGAGTAACCATAAAGATCTTCTCCGGCAGCCATGAGTCTTTCCTCCTGCAGGGGACGAAATGAACGAGATATGACCTAACATGCTGTGAAGCCACAGGTCAATTGCTCACGAATGAGGTTGTTCAAACAAAATGAACAGGTGAGTTCTTATCTCTCTGAACAGGCCTGAGAGGCGGCTGGGCTTAGGGCCAGGCTCCCACCTGACTGCTGGGTGGAAGGGCAGGCGGCCAGCCAGCTCCTCACCAGGAAGAGAAAGTCCCAACGCCGGCTTCGGGCACTCGCCGGAAGCCTACACAGGGTGGTGGGTGTAAAACGCTGTCCCTGGTCCATGTGAATGCTCTCTAAATGCTGACTCTCCATTTACCTTCGCACAGGGACCCACATTAGCCTTGCCTTGCATTTCTCTGCCCTCCAGCCACGTGCTGTGATAGCACGTTAACGAAATCTTAGCTCTGGTTATGTATCTCTCAGCCTCCAACATTCCATGGCTCTCCACAGCCCAAAAGATAAAGTCCGGAATTCCTTAAAACGACCCTATTCCCTTTTGCTCCAGTACTCTCCCACTCCTTTCCCCGCTCAGATCTGAATCCAGCCTCCAAAGAGCCTGTCTCTCCCCTAGCGGTCCGAGCCGTCTCTCCCTCTTCCGGACCTGCAGGCAGACTGTGGGCCCCCCCGAAGATTTGTACCACATCTAAATGATATGAGGTTGGCTGGATTCAGTTCCAACCTCTCTCTCCACTAAAAGGTAAACTTAGAGCTAAGTGATTAGGGTCTTCATTATATATATGCAGCATAGCACTCACTGCCTCATATTAGCAATAATTAGAACTGATACTGAAGGATGACTAACCCTAGCTGGGCACTATTTTAAGTGCCTCCCACACATATAAATTCATTAAACCTTCACAAAAGTCCTGCGGGAACGGGTACTATTATTTTCATCATTTTACAGATCAGTAAACTAAGACTCAGAGGTTAAGTAACATGCCCAAGATTATAATACGAGGAAGTGACGGAGCCTGGGAGCGAACCCAGGCAATCTGACACAGAACCCACCCTCTTAACCACATGCTACATTCAACATCCCATCAGTTACATTTCCTGCCAAGAAAACGTGTTTTAAAAACCACGATGGACAGCCTGCGCTCCATAAATGTTGGCTCCAAAACAACAAACTCAAACCCAGGCACTTGTGCTCAACTACTAAAGAACAATTATAAGATGGTATTACATAATAACCACAAACACGTGTGTGCTTGTGACACTATGCTGAACATCATTTGACTAATTTTAATACCCCGAAGTATCAAATACCTTTAATTATCTCTAATGAAACAAAAGGAGTGCTGCCGCGCGGCAGCTGCTGAGAGCTCTTAACTAATTACAGCAAATAAAGAGAAACATAAAAAGTAAACAGCCGGCTGGGAGAAAGGTCCCGAGGGCGCAGACCGGTGGGAGTGCATGCGAGGCAGGGGTGCTGCTAACAAGGACCCCGGCACAAGCACTGCGGGGCATCCACAGTCCGCGTGGGTCGGGGCAGCAGGATGAGGGGCGACAGGTAGCTGTTCCTGGGCGGGGCGTCAGCTCCGGTTCGAGGAGGCGGGCGGGGATGGGTCCCCGGTGCCACGGCGGGCCCCCCGTGAAGATGCCCGGAGCCGGCCAGCAGACAAGGACGAGGGCGATCTCTCCAAGGCCGGTACGTCCGATCCACCGCCTCCGCGGTCCCTTCGGAGCGCGGAGCAGGACCGCGGAAGGGAGGGCAGGGAAACGCTCTGCTTACATTTTAACAACCTTTTTTTTTTATTTGAGGAGAGGGGGTGACACGACCTTTGGGGAACCGTGGCACCGGAGAGGCGACACCCTGCAACCATCTGCATTGATCGGCGAGGCGGTGCTGCCCGGGCCCAGCGCCCTGCCCAGCCGCCGGCGCAGGCGGAGGCCCGCTCGGCCCCGGCGCGGAGGGAGGCGGCGGTCGCGTCGGCCCGCGGGGCACGGTGCAGGGCTGAGCGCGCGGGGGACGATGCCTTAGTCCCGTTAGAAGACCCTGCCGCCGGGCCCGAGGCCGCCCGGACCCCGCGCTAGCCGCCCGCGCACTCACCAGGGAGCCGCCGCGCAGCAGCCGAACCGCCGCGACCTCCATCGCAGCCGCAGGCCGGTGGCGTAGCGGAGCGAACGGATTCCTCTGTGTGCGGGCCGCCAGCCAGCGCCCGGAGCGGTCAGAGCCAGGCCCCGCCCCGCCGCCCCGCCCTCCGTGGCCGCCCCGCCCCTCCACCTCTTGACCACGCCCCTCGCGCCTACGGAACCCCAGCAGAGACATATGCCTCCTTTCCGCGTTTGCGCTACTTCCTGCTCACGCGAGACTTGAAGAAAGCAGTGGGGCGGGAAGGGAGCGCAGACGTACCAAACATGGCGGCGGCGGCGGTGACGAGGGCGGCGGCGGTGGCGGCGGTGGCGGCGGCGGCGGCAGCGGCGTTGTACGAGGCGGCGGGGGGCCCTCGGTGCAGTTGTCAGGCGGTACGTAGAGGCTGCCGTCGGGCCGGCAGCCACGGGGAGCCGCGGGACGGAAGAGCCGGGCTGGCGGCGGAGCGGCTGGCCCCGCCCGGTCTCGGCCCCCGGAGCGTCGGGCGTGCTCGCGGGTCGGGAGGGTCACGACCCGGACCGGAGGGCGCGGTGCCTGTGGCCCGGCAGCCCGGCAGCCCGGGCGCCGGCGGGCGGGGGCGCGGAGGCGGCGGGGCGGGCGCCGGGGCTCCGACAGGTGGTCGTGCGGGGGGCGCCCGAGGCGGCGCGGCGGCGGGGTCCGGGCGGGCGCAGGTGCCGCAGGTGCCGCGACGCGGGCGGGGACCTGTCGGGAGCCGGGCTGGGAGACCTGCGACTCCCGCTGGGGCTGCGGCTGCGGCGACGCGAGGGTCGCGGGCTCGGCTGCGGGCGCCGAGCTCTTGCGGAACCGTGTTCCGAACCGAACGGAACGCCGGCCTTCGGGGCCCCGCGCCGGCTGTTTGTCCCGAGTAGTGACCGGCGGAGGCGCCGTCGGCGGTCGGATCCCGGGGGGCTCGGTGTGCGGGCAACACTCGGGCCAACTGCTCGGCCGTCGGGGCTTCGGAGCCGGGAACTCGGCGCGGCCACTGAGAGGTGGGGCGTTGGGGGGTGTGTGTTGGCCCCTGGGGGTCCAGAGTGCTCCCCGGGACACCCTGAGTGGTTTAGGGTTTTGGTTGCCATAGAGAGTCTAGTAACGGTGGGAACCCCGATGTGCCCTCCTGGGCTGTGCCTGGGCTTTTTCTCCCTTTCACCCCCTTCCCACGGATGTCCCCCCTGAGCGTGGTTTCCCTGCAGCCGTCGGGGGTCCGCTGGTACTAAGCCCGGCCCTTGGAGCAGTGTCCTCCGAACAGATGAAACGAGAGGCTTGAATTTAGGAAGATGTTGACGATTTTGCCAAAAACGAAACCCACCCATTGGGAAAACAACAACAGTAGTCACACTAGTGCATGTGATTCGTTGGCGCTTTTGTGGAAGTGAATCTGTTGCTTTGTTCTTGGGTTTGCTGTTCGCTCGGGTTTTCTTTTCCAGGACAGGGAATGGTAAGATTGGCAGGTCATTCTGTGAGCTTGTTTGTTTGTTTATTTTTTATATATATCCTCAGCTGAGGACATTTTTCTCAAATGGAGTAGGAGGGAGAGAGAGGAAGAGAGAGAGAGAAACATCGACGTGAAAGGGACACATCGAGTGGTCGCCACCCACACAACCCAACCAGGGCCGGGGACAAACTGCAACCGAGGTCCGTGCCCTTAGCGGGAACCGAACCCGGGTATCTGGACCGCAGGCCGCCGCTCTAACCGCTGAGCCAAACCGACCAGGGCTCTGTGAGCTTCTTCAACCTGTAGGTGCTAATGAAATGTTTACCCTAAAGGTTTTGATTTGTGGTGTGTTTTTCTTTGCAGGCCTCTGTGTGGCTTTTCCGTTTTAGTTGAAATCCCCTCCATGGCCTTTTGGAGGCCCTTGGTGTGTCTCCAGAGTGAATTTCAATCACTCTACGTTTCGTCCATGTTGGAGTGGCAAGAAAAAGGAGGAACTGATTTGGGGTGAAAAGGTTAGATCGTATAACTCTGCTTTTGGATTTTTTTTTTTTAACTTGTATTTATTTATGTTCTACTTTGATGTTTTCTGATTTCCCACAGCCTCCCAATGCCCCTTTTTGCTTTCAAGAATTTGGTTTTGGACAGTTGTGTAATCAGAAGAAGTGGGTTCTAATTCTCTTTGAAGACTGTGTTTCCCTTCACAAACCAAACGTAATATGTCAGACTTCTCCGCTGATATGTGTGCTTGGCGGAGTACACCTCTCGGTGGCCATAATTACTAGTCTGTGAAAGTAAGCACATCTGCTCAGCTGCAGTCACTTGCCCGCATGGGCCTACCTAACCCCAGATTAAGTTAGCGTATGTGTAAGTTCGTTGCTAAGGATTCTGTTTCATGATTAGTGACGCTTAAACATGTTGGGTGAATTAAATAGATCCTGCTATTCCCTAGTCATGTGTTCTCAAAATTCTCCTATAGCTTAGAAAAAAGATAGACTTTGGAAGGAAGGTAGTTAAAGAGCCTCTTCTGGTTCTTGTGTTACTGCTGTCTCACCGTCATGACTGTCTTCTCATTTGCCTGTATTGTCAACGACTGGTGAAGAGGGGGTGGGTGTGTGTGTGTTGATCAGAAACTTCCCATTTATAATAGGAGACTGAAGAAGAAAGATCAGAGGACATCATACAAACAAATCCTTTATCAGAAACCAAAGAAAGGTCAGAATAGTTAAGTTACCTGCTTAAAGGTAAAGAGGTCTTCATGTTCTTTTGGGATATCAAAGCTTATTTCTGAAATGCATCTTTCCTTCACTAGTGTGAGTAACCTCTGCTTGTTTTGTAAGAACCTTATTTTTGACCCTTGAATGGATAACTTGAGAGAAGCTATTGACATAAAAATAATTGAGGTATATTCTAGTCTGTTTCTATGTAGACATGTACCTACACCCCATGGAATACCTAGGTTAACTTTTTTTAAAGTTTATATATTTATTTATTTATTTGTTAATTCTCACCCAAGGATATTTTTCCATTGATTTTTTTTTTTTTTTTTTTTTTAAGAGAGTGGTAGGGAGGGAGAGAGAGAGAGAGGAAACCTCGATGTGAGAGAGACACATCTATTGGTTGCCTCCCGTATAACCCCCCATTATGCTGACTGGGGCCAAACGTGCAACCCAAGTACGTGCTCTTGACCAGAATTGCACCCGAGACCATTGGATCCAAAGGCTGATGTGCTAACTGCTGAGCCCAACCGGCTAGGACTACCCAGTTTAATTAATCAGGGGAATCGCAGGGAGAACTCAGAAATTTTGCTGTAGCGTGGGGAAACTTCTTCTCTTTGGTTGGTATAATTATATCAGTCACAGAAAGAATAGGTTAGGCTTGGAATATACCACCCCAGTCTGTTGTAAAAGTGGAAAACTCTTGCCTGGCCGGTATTGCTCAGTGGTTGAGCGTCGACCCATGCACCAAGAGGTCGCCAGTTTGATTCCTGACGGGGTATATGCCCAGGATCTGAGCCAAATCCCAGTTGGGGGGCGTGCAGGAGGCGGCCAATCTGTGTTCTCTCTCATCGGTCTTCATTCCTCTCTCTCTCAAAATCAATAAAGAAAAAAAAACTGGAAAACTCATAAATATATTTCTTTTTCTGGTGACATAATTTTACACATTGGAATTTTGTATAATTTTTTTGGCTAATAAGCTTTAAGGTATTGAATTCATAGCTAGTAAGAAAGATAATTTCAATAAAAACATTATAGTTAGCTGATCCCCGGAGTTGGTGTTTATATTATCTTTGCAAAGGTTTTTAAAACTTATCCTTGTTTTAGAGGCATTTCCAGATATCAGTTAATTTGTGGAGTTCTTAGATTAAACGTTCAACTCTGAGATTGTTGATTACTTTATTAAAGACAGAAAGATGGTTTGGGTATAAAAATCTGTGTTTTCTTTTAATATCAGGAAACTTTCAATTGTTTCAGAATTAGTGTTCATTTTTTATTTATTGTACTTAGATACAACTTGAGCTGGAGAAACCTGGGTCTTGAACCATAGCCTCCATTCAGATTTAGGCATCTTGGCTTCATAATGGACTGTTCATGGACTGGAGCTGTGCACGGGTCTGTCGTGATGTGCACGGGTGTGCGTGCGTGTCTGTGTTAGAGAGGTCTACGGAGACAAACCATGTCAATGTATTTAAAACGAATTAAAAAAAATTTTTTTATGTTTACAATGTTTTCCTTTTTACCATTGGCATCCTGTGTTTTTGGATTTGTATGTTTTTTTGTGTTTTTTTTTTTAAGCCCATCTTGCATTATGATGGAAAATCACACAATTTATGGAAGGGAAATTTATTCTGTGACAATGTGATAATAGCAGAACTGTGGACATATGCCAGCTACCTTTGTGGTTAGGCTCAGTGTGCTCTTAAAACCCAAGGTCTTGCGAGCTGGCCCCTCTGCTGGGTGGCACATGTGCCCAGCGGTGTCGCTTCCTAACCAGGATCTGGTAAGATTTGTCTTGCTTATTGAGGCCTGTTAAAGTACATTCGGATGTTTTCCAGTGAAAACATACCAGTTTTTACATGAACTGATTGGCTAGAAGTGATGCTAAGTTGCAAGGTACATACCAGGATTTCTTTTTTAATTATAACTTTTACAGTTAGAGCACAGACAAGCTATAGGGCTTTACAGCCCGTACAGTTCATGAAACAGTTTTCCAGATCATCATCATTATGGTCTTCATCGTCTTTTGTTTTTTATCTCCCAATCCTCATATCTTTTCTTTCCTTCCTTTTCTACTGCGGGGGTCTCTACCTCCAGTACTGTGTTGAGTAACAGGACGGTATACAGATGCTATAGTATGAAACCTATTAATTTTATTAACCAATGTTACCTCAATAAATTCAGTTTAAAAAATAGCAATAGCGATAGCAAGTATTTTTGTCTTGTTCTTGATTCTGCAGGCAGTGTGTGTGAATTGTCTCCATGAACTGAGGTGGAGTTTTGGAAGCCACCCTTTACCACCTTGAAGTTAAACATTCTGAATCTGAGTCGGTGATTCCGCTGCTGTTTTCTTGCCACCTCGGGTTGCCATCGATACCCTTATGGTCTGGTTTCTTTCAGCGGGTAGGCTGCCTTTCCTCTCTAGACGGTGTTGCGTTACTTCCTGACTTTGAGGTTGTGGAGTCTCAGGACACCGTGTCAGTGCTGCTGCCACACGCTCTGCCTTGCACTCTGACCCGTGCAGTCTGAAAGCTCTGATTCTGGAAGTGTCCTGATGGCTATCACTTTTTAAGACATTTCTCTTGTTTGTTTTTCTCTTTCTAGAACTCATTCTATACCTGTCTGCTACATGTCCTACTTTTTTATGTACATTTTTATAATTCTCCCCATCCCTCTGTGTTTTGAGTTGCCCCCCCGCCTCAGTTTTATTGAGATACAACATTATTATGTTTTGTTTTTTATCTCACTCTTAATATTTCTCATTGGAGCTGACTGGCTCATATTTTATTTCTAGCCAAAGGGCAGATTTTAAAGGACAAATACTAAGTAAAATCCACTATAGAGTAACATGATGATCAAAGGGCTAGAAGACAGAACCGGTCCAGGAAACATGGGGGATGGGAAAAGCCACGGAAACAGACTTGTGTTCTTCGCTAGTCTAAAGGCTGCCCCGTGCTGCTGTGGAGTGGGACGATCTACAGTGGTGACGGTCGGACTAGGCTATTTCCAGTAGATTTCTAGTTAGTGAAAATAGAAACTTTGGTTCTGAAAATGTTGGTCAAGCCTTTGTTAATTGGGAAATACTTTAGTGGAAACCATATTTCACAACCGCTTTTGCCTTTACATAAAAATCTTTTTACTGGAAGAAAAGATTTTTTGCCTTTTAGGTGGTGGACTTCCTAATGTTGTTCTTACTAGAAAACTTTTTGGTGATTTTGATTTATGAATTGGGACCATGAACCTGTGTGAGGACCAGTTTAGATGTGATTACAAAGTCTCACATGAGGCTTCCCCACTCTGTGTCAACATCAGGGATCTTTTCTTTCTTAAATGTTCCCCCATTCTTAGCGTGAGGAGGTGGTAGAGGAGGTAGAGGTGGTTTGGGTTTCTAGGGCAGGGGTTGAGAAAATGCAGCCTGTTGGCCAGCGTGTTTATGTAGCCGTATTGCATGAAAGGGCGGGCGTCTCCTTCCTTTACATGTCGTGTGTGGCTGCTGCTAGCGACAGCGACAGTGTCGAATAGTTTCTCAGAGACTGCGAGACCTGCAGAGCCTCACATGTTTACTACGTGGTCTTTTGCAGAAAGGTTTGCCAGCCTTGTTGTAGACCACCTGTTTCTAGACCACCTGTTCACAGGAACCCTGTGACTTACGAGTTGTCCGTGGTGGCAGTCTCTAGCCATGTGTAGCTATTGCAGTGTGTGTGCGTGTGCGTGCATGTGTGTTTTCTTTTTTCATTGATTTTAGAGAGAGGAAGGAAGAGGGAGAGAGAGACACATTGATGTGAAACATTGATAGGTTGCCTCCCACGTGTGCCTCAACCGGGGATCTAACCTACATCCTGGGTATGTGCCCTGACTGGGAATCAAACCCGCTGGGCCTGGCTATTTCAATTCACATTAATTAAATAACGTTTAAAACCTCTGCTATCTGGAGTAGCCGCATTTTGAGTTCTCAGTAGCGGCGTGTAGCCAGTAGCAGCTGTATGGAGGACGCAGCCCCGGAACACGTCCATCTCCCCGAAATCCCGACGGCCTTGCTGAGCCACTGGCTGCTGTGCTGTCGCACAGACAATCCCTGTAGCGTGCCTGCTCCTTTCATCTGAACTGTTTTCTCTTCGCTCTGTCTTTGTCATTTCCTTCCCCGTAAGACTTAAGTCCGACTTGCAGTAATTTAGATATTGAGCGCGTTGATGTCTCCCCATGGCCCGTGCCGTCTGCAGTCACGGGAGATCACACAGCTGAGGCCAGACCGGGTCCTGGTTGCTGTGCGCAGACCCTGCAGCAGTGCTTTGTCACCGCTGCTCCTACACGCCCATCTCCCGAAACCGTGTCAACTTGCAGTTTTCCCCCCACAGGTATAACGAACTGTAAACTTAAAAAAAAAAAGGGGGCAAGATGGGTGAAAAGAAGCCAGAGCCCTTGGACTTCGTGAAGGACTTCCAGGAGTACCTGACCCAGCAGACCCATCACGTGAACATGATCTCCGGATCAGTGAGTGGGGACAAGGAAGCAGAGGCTCTTCAGGGAGGTAGACTCATCTTAGTACTATTGACAACCTCCTTTTTATAAATCCATTCATGTCTGTGTGTAGCTGTCCATACCACGAAGACCATTATTCACTCATGTGACTCATTCCATTCTTCCTAAAGAGACAGGGCAGTTTTTTTCTTTCTTTGTGCATGTCATAGTTTTGCTGAGGGAGAGTGAGACTCCGCCAGGCCCATGTGGTCTAGAGCTGCTTTAAGGTCTTGTCGGAAGGTTAGGGGCTCCAGATGCCACTTCTGTCCTCCAGGTTCTAGGAACTGACAGACACGGGAACCCAGAGCGTCAGCAGCAGCTTCCACACACACAGGATTCAGCCACTAGGAAATCTGGGTTAGACCTGAAACACAGGGGGGATTTCGGGATTGTCTCCTAAAATGAAGAGAGGGCGGACCTTGTTCACCCATCTAGGAGGGAAAACTAGGAGAAAGCAGCAGCCTGCTGCAGGCAGACCGTGCCTGTGTCTCCTTTGCTCGCCACTCCGTCATTTGATTCTGAAGCTCACTGCGGTCCTCACAGCATAGCCTCTGAGCCCATCTGGACCGCTGTTCCTGCGCCACCTGCCAGCTGGGAGCGCTGTCTACAGCTAGAGATGCAGGGGAATCAGAAGAATGTCGTAACCTGAAAATTATATGAAATTAAATCTTCCTAAAGTTGTATCGAAATACAGCTACACTTGCTTGTTTACATGTTTTCTGCCTACAGCTGCAGCGATGGGTGGTTGTGGTAGAGACCAAATAGCCCCACAGCCTGAAGTACTTGCTGTCTGGGCCTTACAGGAGAAGTTGCCTGGCCCCAACCTAGGTGGTCTGTGGCCCTGTAGTCAGGGACCTGCAGCAGGAACTAGGGAGCTTGTTAGAACCGCAAAATGTCAGACCCCACCTCAGCCACTGAGCCAGAGTCTGAATTTAGTAAGCTCCCAAGGAATGAATATATACATTAAGTGTCGAATGGTGCGGGCCTGGGAAAGCCAGGAGGGGGCGCTGAGCCTGTGCCCCTGGTGCAGTGGCATTGCTGGGTGTTGGACTTGCCCCAACCAGCAAAATCACTTCTCTCCTGGGTGGGGTGTCGCTGGAATTCACTTCAGCCCTGCTACCCCTGGGGAGGAACAGACGTGCTTGTCCCTTGAAGCTGCAGGAATAGAAACGTCCTCCAGACACTGGTCCACCACGTGCCAAACCGGGGTGCAGAGACCAGGGCTGTCCCCGCCGCGTGCCAGACTGGGGTGCGGAGGCCAGGGCTGTCCCTGCCGCGTGCCAGACCGGGGCGCGGAGGCCAGGGCTGTCCCCGCTGCGTGCCAGACCGGGGCGCGGAGGCCAGGGCTGTCCCCGCCGCTTGCCAGACCGGGGCGCGGAGGCCAGGGCTGTCCCCGCCGCGTGCCAGACCGGGGCGCGGAGGCCAGGGCTGTCCCCGCTGCGTGCCAGACCGGGGCGCGGAGGCCAGGGCTGTCCCCGCCGCGTGCCAGACCGGGGCGCGGAGACCAGGGCTGTCCCCGCTGCGTGCCAGACCGGGGCGCGGAGACCAGTTCCTTTATACAAAGTAGTCAGATTAGGTTAAGAGTAAAAAGGCAAACATCTTTTAGCTCTCAAATTAACAGATCTAACATTCAGAGGAATCAAATGCAGTATTTTTCTTTGTGTGCTGAATCAGATCCTAAATGCAACCCAGCTTCTGGGACATATGTGCAAACTGAGAGGACCAGTGCAGAACTCAGCATTAATTGGTTTAGGCTAAAGTAAATAGACTTAGGATTTGTGGGGATTTTCATGACTTCCAGTTACATTTATAGAAGTGGCTAGAATCCTAAACAGTGTACAACTGCCATCACTACTTACTCCCCTCTTTGCCCTCACCTGTCAAACAAGGACAATGCCCTGTTCTCGTCCACAAAAGCATGTTGATAAAATTTTGTAAGTTAACTTGCATTTCATGAAAGATTTTCTACTATGTAAGACTAAATGGCTACATTGAGTTGATTGTGAGATCCATAGTTTGTTTTGCTTTGTTTATAGCTGGAACAGATGATCAGAATGGACTGGATCACCCATCTGTTGAAGTTTCCCTGGATGAAAACTCAGGAATGTTGGTGGATGGGTTCGAGAGGACCTTCGATGGGAAGCTCAAGTGTCGGTACTGCAACTACGCCAGCAAAGGGACAGCCCGGCTCATCGAGCACATCAGGATCCACACAGGTGACGGCAGGAGAGGGGCCGAGGAGGGCGGGTTGATCTGTCATAGGAGTGGTTTCCATCATTTAAAAACGAAGGTTGCTGTAAGGTCTGCGTGAATGAGGAAGTCACTCCCTGCTTCCAGAGCAGTGGCAGAGCAGCACACAGACAGGAAGTGGTCCCTGTAGAGCTCTTTGTCTGGAGCCATCTTTCTCCTTGGTCCCATGATCCCAGCGTCTGCCTGCCGCTCGGGCCGGGCAGGGGATGCTGACGGCCGTCTGAAGTGCGAAGACGCTCCATCTTTATGCTCACTCCGTGTGAGTGAGCTGCAGACTACGCCGCTCAGGCCGAGTCTCACCTTAGCTGGGCCTTCTGCTGTGACAGCCTCCTGACCACACCTGTCCTGGCCCAAGACCAGGTCCGGTGTCCCTCTGTGTGCCCAGTGGCTTCCCATGTGGTGTGGTGGTGGCCTGGAGACCTCTGGAGGACGGGTTGTGTCGGTGCTGTCTTCGTGCCCCCCCCCCCCCCCCCGAGCCCAGCAGGGCCTCTGGCACACCGTTGGTGCCCAACATCTCAGAGTGAGTTTATAGATGGAGCCGTCTGCCACAACAGCACTGGTGAGATTGTCCCTCTGGTGACAGCAGAGGGGAAAGGTGGCGGCGATGCTGGCCGTTCGGAGGGACGCTCTGCGCACCTCACACTCGGTCTCGCGAGCCCCTTTCGGTTTCTAACTTTATTCGATAGAAGGACTTCTTTTTTTTATTAGTATTAATTTATTTATTTTTGTTACAGATGTTTCTCCTTTTTCCCCCACTGATTCCCCCTCCTCCTCCCTCCGCGCCCCGTCCCCAGCTTTGCTGTCCATGTCCATCGGTCATGCATACATGCGTATAAGTTCTGTGGTTTATCTCTTCCCCACCACCCCCTCTTCTGGGGATTGTCAGTCTGTACCCCACGTCCACATCTCGGACTACCCTGTTCTTCAGACTGTTATGTTCATTATGTTCCACAGATAAGTGAGATCATATGATACTTGTCTTTCTCTGTTTGGCTTGTTTCGCTTAGGATAATACTCTCCAGGTCCCTCCATGTCATCTCAAAGGATAAGAGATCTTTCTTTCTTACAGCTGCGTAGTACTCCATTGTGTATATGTACCACAGCTTTTCTATCCGTTCATCTGCTGATGGACATTTGGGCTGTTTCCAGATCTTAGCTATTGTAAATAGTGCTGCTACAAACATGGAGGTACATATATCGTGTCTGATTGATGTTTCAGGTTTCTCAGGGTATATTCCTAGAAGTGGGATCACTAGGTCAAATGACAGTTCTGTTTTTAATTTTTTGAGGTAACACCATAGTGTTTTCCATAGTGGCTGCACCAGTCTGCATTCCCACCAGCAGTGTACTAGAGTCGCCTTTTCTCCACACCCTCACCAACACTTGTTTGATTTGTTGATGGCGGCCATTCTGACAGGTGTGAGGTGATACCTCATTGTTGTTTTAATTTGCACCTCTGATGATTAGTGATGTTGAGCATTTCTTCATATGTCTCTTAGCCATTTGTATGTCCTGTTTGGAGAGGTGTCTATTTAGTTCCTCTGCCCATTTTTTAATTGGGTTCTTTGTCTTCCTTTTGTTGAGTTGTATGAGCACTCTATATATATTAGACATTAACCCCTAATCTGATGTATCATTGGCAATTATGCTCTCCCATACAGTGGGTAGCCTTTCCATTTTGATGATTGTATCTTTTGCTGTGCAGAAGCTTTTGAGTTTGATGTAGTCCCATGTGTTCATTTTCTCCTTTGTTTCTGTTGCCTTAGGTGATGTATCAGTGAAATTTCTGCTGCGTCTGATGTCTGAAATTTTGTTGCCTACATTTTCTTCTAGGATTTTTATGGATTCATGAGTCACATTTAAGTTTTTTATCCATTTTGAGTTTATTTTTGTATGTGGTGTAAGTTGATGATCTAGTTTCATATTTTTGCGTGTAGCTGTCCAATTTTCCCAACACCATTTATTAAAGAGGCTGTCCTTACTCCACTGTATGCTCTTGCCACCTTTGTCAAATACTAACATATTGCCTTGGGTCCATTTCTGGGTTCTCTGTTCTGTTCCACTGGTCTATATGCCTGTTCTTGTGCCAGTACCAGGCTGTTTTGATTACAGTGGCTTTGTAGTATAACCTGAAATCTGGTCATGTGATAGAAGGACTTCTTATAAGAGGTTTTTTGTACTTTTTCCCCTGAAGAGGTATTTGTGTGTGTGTGAATGAGGGTCAGGTAGAGAAGTACACACGAGTGGAGCTTGGGGACACACTTCAGTGAGGTCATGACTAGGCAGGGACGTTGTTGTCAGTTGTGCTATTTCTTCTTTCCCCAAAGCCAGTGGGAGCCGTAGCAGTTTTTATGCTGCACTGACCATAAGACACAGCTGTACGTCTCAAATTGTTGCTGATGGGGCCTGAAGTTTTGTTTGCAGTTTTCTTTACAAATTTTAATACTTTTGTGCAAATGTGAATTTCTGAAAATCATTTCATTTTGATCAATTTCAAAACTAATGACACTTTACCTTAATGAGCTGCTCTTGCAATTTCTCCCCCATTTTTCTTTTTAAAACAGGTGAAAAACCTCATAGATGTCATTTATGTCCATTTGCATCTGCTTATGAGCGTCATCTGGAAGCCCATATGCGTTCCCATACGGGAGAGAAACCGTACAAATGTGAATTGTGTTCCTTCCGCTGCAGTGACCGAAGTAACTTGTCCCATCATCGAAGGCGCAAGCATAAAATGGTACCAATTAAAGGTACGAGGTCTTCCTTAAGCAGCAAGAAAATGTGGGGGGTTTTGCAGAAGAAAACGGGCAACCTGGGCTATAGCAGAAGAGCACTAATCAACTTAAGTCCCCCTTCCATGGTGGTTCAGAAGCCAGACTACCTTAACGATTTCACCCACGAGATCCCAAACATCCAGACGGACTCCTACGAGAGCATGGCAAAAACCACGGCAGCGGGGGGCCTGCCGAGGGACCCCCAGGAGCTCCTGGTTGACAACCCTTTAAATCAGCTCTCCACTCTAGCAGGACAGTTGTCCAGTTTGCCACCTGAAAACCAAGCCCCAGCGTCCCCTGACGTCGTGCCCTGCCCGGACGAGAAGCCTTTCGTGATGCAGCAGCCCTCTGCCCAGGCCATCGTGTCTGCTGTGCCGGCGGGGATTCCCCCTGGCGCCTCCCCTGCCAGCCCCGAGCCTCGGCCCTCGCAGAGTCAGAGGAACTACAGCCCCGTGGCAGGTCCCAGCAGTGAGCCGAGCGCCCGCACCAGCACACCCAGCATAGGGAACAGCCAGCCGAGCACTCCCGCACCGACCCTGCCAGTCCAGGACCCGCAGCTCCTGCACCACTGCCAGCACTGTGACATGTACTTTGCCGACAACATCCTCTACACCATCCACATGGGCTGCCACGGCTATGAGAACCCTTTTCAGTGCAACATCTGTGGGTGCAGGTGTAAGAACAAGTACGATTTCGCCTGTCATTTTGCACGAGGGCAGCACAACCAACACTGATCGGAACAATCACATTGTTCTTTACTTGGCTTTGACTTCTTGTGTTTTGTAGTTTTGTTTATTGTTGGGCTTTTTTGGGGGGGCCCATCCCTAATCCCTAATAAGGTATATGCTAATTTAAAGTTTATACATTATATTTATAGAAAACAGATTTGACAATGGAAACAATGTTTTCCTTTTTTTCATAAAAGTCGGGCCAGGGTCATTTATATGTTAGGAGGACTAGACACGTTGGTGTCCCTTTCCCTCTCATTCAGACACTCAGTTGACGTGCAATCTCTGTCGTACAGGTGTCCCCTAGATGCTCTGCCGGTCCATGTGGACAGCAGAGCTCGGAACTCGATGCCGCCATGGCTGTGTCGCAGCAAGACCTTGCTCCTGCACACTCAGAACGGTGGGATAAGTTACGCTCCAGAGTGTGTTACAACTTGATTGTTGATAGAGGAACTGCTTTCAGATTGCTCTTCGTTGAAATACTACTTAGCTCACATAGTTTAAACTGAATTAGTAGTTTCAACTGATCATAGTAAGCTATTTCAGTGCACAGTAAACCTTCCTTTTTCCATAAGGGGAGATGAAAAATAGTTCATTCTTTCTAAATTAGAGTTATAAAAATTTGAGAGAAAAGTTCTGAAAAGAAATGAAACCTAAGGATTTACATAGAAAACGGAGTTCGCTGTCTGAAAACCTGTTTATTGCATTTCTGGTTTGAAACATCAGTTTTTTCATTGGATTCTTTTCAATCTAGTTTATTTGTAAAACCACAGGTAAATCCATAAGAATGCTAGAAATATCAGAGGATTGATTATCTATGAAGATGCCTTTTTATTCTTTAATTTGAACCTTATATTTAAATCCTTCATTCTGACGTTATTACTGTCAGGTGAGGTTGATAGTGATACTAAGAGTCTGTTCTTCCCCCTGTTCCTTGATGACCAAAGAGGTAAGTGGAAGTCACCCGTCTGGTTCCAGGAAACAGCCCTGAGCAGAACCCTCTGACACTCCTTTTCCTGCCCGGTGTCCATTTGTTGTCCACAATTCCCGCACAGGAAATGTGATGGTGAAGTGATACTTTTAAAAATGAGAACATATATCCAGAACGAGTTCTGGTCTCTCTTCAGAATTAGCCTTTTCAAACACGTTATGTGGAGTCGAGTTGTGAGGCTCATGCGCAGTCTCCAGTCCGCCCGTGCGGTGGCGAGCTGTGTGGGGCCTGCTGGGCGGGCGCCTTTGTAGGGAAGGTGTAAAACGAGAATAGAGTACATTTAAACATCCTTCATTGGTTTACAGAAATAAGACTTGCTAAATACATCTAGAGTAATTTTGAATAGGAGGCTGTTGTTTATATATTGTGTAATAACTCGCTTACTTGGAGGCGAGCTTGGTCAAACAATAAACTATATTGTTACTAACTGTTGGTTTCTGTGTTTGCAAACATTTTATTTTTAATTTGGTTCAAAGCTTGAAAGTGTTACTAATTGGCTTTGTAAAGAGAATGTTCTAACAACTGAGCATGTATTAACCAAATAGGACCACTACTCTTAGAGTAAATAAAAGGGAAATGTTGATGATTTATGTCCACAAAACCCCTAAGTGCCAAGGTGATGGATCTTCTGCCCTTGCAAATGCCATAAAGCCATTAAATGAACTCTCGTGGTTTCATATCCAATCAAACTCGGTTCAAAGCAGCAGCGCCTCGGAGTTTCCCAATGGCCATGCCTCCCCTCCCCTCCCCGTCCAAGACGAGGCGCCTGCATCTGCAGGTCTCGGGCCTCGCCGGGCTGGACACGCCCCTGCTCGTGCCCATGTCGGTGCAGCCATCTCCAGTGGACACCTGCCCAGTGCCGGTTCATTCCCAGACAGGAGGAGGTTGCTGTCGTTTGGAAGCTTTTATCTCCCCTCTCACTTTTATTCTTCAAACAAAAGCAATATGCAAAACAGAAAATGCAAGTTTTCATTAAATGAAAGGAGCTCTTGTTAAAACCAGTTTATTATATTCTGAGCCAAATAGTGACAAATACATTTTTTTCCTGACAACTAAAGATGTTTTGAAGGTGCATTTTAACTTACACGTACTTTTTTCATAATTACAAACTAGAACGTGTGATTCTCATTTTCATGACTTACAGTTGGTATCCCAAAGGGGTTGAGGCGCGAGAGCTGTGATTCCCTCTAAATGCACTAACGTTTTTGAAGCAAATCAACCGTAGAAAGTTTTTTAGTATTGTATTTTTTAAAAGATTGAGAATTTTACTTAAATATTCTGTGAGTTAAATGTATCTTCCACTAAGTATTTGAATATATTTATCCCATTTTATTTTTAACCAACTATTTTGTAGAAATGAGTTGTTGGGGAAAGTTGAACATGCAGTATTTATAGTACTTTGCTGGTAACAGGCAATTCTCTGAACCAAAATTTAATTTGTTCCGTGAACATGTTTAGACTCTTCAAGTTGGTAGATAATTTATCTCCACTAATATTTTTTTAAGAAACTGTGAAGAAATTAATAGGGAGTAACTTTATTTCAGATTTTACTAATGTAGTTACATACTCCTTGAAATTCAAGTAAAGGCTAAACTTTTACTTTGAAAAAGTTCCATTGGGTATTTTCTAGTGCTATTTCATTTTAGAAATAAAGGTTTACCATTCATCTGCAGAATTGTTGGACAAAGGGACTATTGCTTTAAAAAAAAAATGTTCAGACATAAACCTCATTTTAAGTTCTACAAAAATATTTATCAAATGGGCATTATTTAAAAAAATTCCCTAAGGATTCTTTTCATTTAATAGTCTTAACGGATATATGATTTCTACAACTTGTTTTTGTTAATATGTACTTTGATGCAAAGAACATATTTTGTATGCAAAACAAGATGATTATGGCTGCAAAAACTATGTTTAGGGTTCCAGAAAGATTTGATGCTGAAGTGACCGTACCCATTATGTGTTGTTATGAAAGAAGCTTTGCTCTTGTAATTCATGAATAAAAGAATAACTTTCTAATGATTTCGATTTTTCTTTTTAAGAACTAGGATCCAATTAGTTTTTTAGTAATTTTCCAGTATGTAAAATGTTAAAAAAGAAAGGTTTAGCCTTGGCCGGTTTGGCTCAGCGGTTGCAGCATCGGCCTGCGGATCAGAGTCCTGGGTTCGGTTTCTGCTAGGGGCATGTGCCAAAAAAAAAAAAAAAAGGTTTATGGCTGTACTAGTTTGCATTTGTAGGAAGCCTTACCCATGAATTACAAACAAAGACAGCTCCACACATCCACATTCCGTCCCCTTTCTAGTTTCTTCGCTTCATGTAAGATCCACACATCTGGCTCTGCCTCCACCCCCCAGCCCTGCAGGCTCTGGCGCTTGATTATCTGGGTCACACTTGACGAGAGCAACAAACAGATCTTTTATTTACTTTTTATTGTTGGAAGTATTACAGGTGTCCCCCTTTTCTAAGCTAAAGCAAAGACACATGGATCTTTCAGAATGCCTGATTTTTATGAGGAATCATCTTGGGCCTGTCACCTCACTGGCCTAGGAAACACCCAGTCGTACAAAACTGCTGCAGTCGGTTTGCAAAATCGTAACCAAAAGCAGACATTTGGTCAGAAATTCAGAAGTCTGAACGCTGCTTTGAAAAATACTTCCGCACAATGCTCTCTTTCTCATAATGAAAGAAAGAAAGAACGTCTGCTGTGTCCATGGTTTGTGGAGAGCACAGGTATTTTCTGTTTCCTTGTCTCAGGTCTTCCAGAAACTCCGCTTTGAGCTTGTTAAGGTCTTCTGCTAGAAGCTTCAGGCTGCAAGGAAGCACTTGTTCATCTAAAATCAAGACATTTTCAGATTATCTGTGCAAATTGATCAGGCTGTGCTGGCTAATAACACCAGAAATTTATTTATTTCAGACAAACCAATCATTCCTATAAATAACCCCAGTTGAGTCAGTGTGATGCAGAGACAAAAAATCACGTTCATGGGACGTAACAGATCATTTAAATAACTTGCTAGGAAACCACTGAGCAAAACAGACAAGCCCGACGGGGGTTTCTGTTGCGGACAAGAGCTGACTTCACATTCTTGAACTAATGGGTAGTGAGGCCAAGAAGCAGAGCCGGAAGCGGACGGCCTGGTTTGCAAGCAGGTGTTACCACCACCGCTGCCCAGCGGAACTTTCTGCAACGATGGAAGTGTTCTGTGTCTGCCCTTTGCAGCCCGGCAGCCACTGGGCTGCGGGTCATGGGGCTGGAACGGAACTTTCTGTTCAACAGCTATATTGAGAAAGAATTCACACATCATACCATGTATCCGTTTAAACTACAATTCAGTGATTTTAGTATCTTCAGTGTGTGCACCTGTCACCACAATTCTAGAACATTGCCTACTCCATCCCCTTGGGCCTCCCCATCCCGAAGCAACCATTAATCCAGGGTTGTGCCTCTAGATCCCCCCATTCTGACATTTCACTTGACTGGATTCGTAACATCTGGCCGTGCTGATGGGCTTCTTTCATTTTGCATAATTTTTTCAAGGTTCACCCAGGTAACACGTTATCAATGCTTCAGCCTTTCTGTGGCTGAAGAATCCACTTCATGTGGTTACCACACTGTGTTTAATCATCTGTCAGCTGACGGGCATTGGGTTGCTTCCACCTTTGGCAGTTAGGAGTAATGCGGCTACAAACATCTACACATTTCGCAGGAACAGGTTTCAATTCTGAGCACATCCCTGAGAGTGGGACTGCGGGGCCCTGGCTGCACGGCCAGGCCGTCTGCAGGGCAGCTGCCCGTCCCCCCCACGGGCAGGCACAGAGTCCGACTGCACCACATCCTCGGCAACACTTGCACTTCTCAGTGCTGGGTGTCCCGGTGGGTGTGCAGTGACATCTCTGTGCTTCTCATTTGCATTTTCCTGATGACTACTGAGATCGAGTCTGTTTTCACAACTGGAACTACTCAACATACCTTTTGCTTCCTTCATGGTCTGAGAGACAACTCTTCGCAGCATCTGATCAGCTTGATGAAGAACGTTAGTTGAACAAATAAATCTGTCTGTTTCCTATGTAATACAGACACTTATTAGAACAGTTACAAAGTTTTGCATTATCTGAAAAGACAGAGTTGAAACGGCTTCTCCGTTCCAGTCATTCTTCCCAAGGACAGGGTCTGAATGAAATACATCCCATTGGGAATGGTTCCATCCGGGCAGTGGGGTGCTGGCAAATGTTCAAGAATGGGCTCTCCAGGGACAAACGAGAACCATCTAGCGCCTCTGTCAGTCGGGGGTGTAAACAGCCCCGTCCCTGCCCTGGAGCTGCCCGCACAAAGGCTCAGCAGTTCTGAGAATGTACCGGCTGAGCCCTCGGCGCTGCCCTGTGGCCGATGCTGCTGACCGAGGCCCCCTGCACGTGTACTCACGTTCTGTCCTCACTCCAGAAGGTCCTCCTACCGTCTGGAGTGAGGATAAAGGAGGCTCCTTCTCCTCTACACTAACCCTGAACCGGAAGACTCACCTTTTGTTCCGCATCGTCCTCAACATGTTTCACTGGATTCTCCAGAGCAGTGAGCAGTAAATCAGTCACCTCCGGGCTGTAAGAGGGGTAAAGTAAGCCTCACAGCTCTGGCCAGACATCCCTTCTCCGCCACCCAGGCCGGTACTGCAGGCACCAGAAGGCGCCTGGACCCCTCAAGAAACGCTCAGTCCACCTCCTGGCCTCTGCTCGTCGACCGGATGTGGGTTAGCAGAGTCCCTCACTTATCTGGGGCCCATGGAGGGTCGAGGCAGAACTCATTCATTCCTTTAACACATATCTACTGAGCATATTCTATGAAAAATGTTGCACAATTATGCATGTGAAACTATGCTAAACCGAGGGTAAAGCAAGATCCCCACCATCTCCAAGGGGCATGTAACAGACAGAGACAGACAATAAATTAAGCAAAAAAAGAATAACGCCAGACACTGACAAGTGGTGAATTAAGAATTCACACAGTGATGCCCTGGCCAGTTTTGCTCCGTGGTTAGAGCATTGGCCAGCAAAACAGAGAGTCTCGGGTTCGATTCTGGTCAAGGGCACATACCTCAGTTGTGGTTCGGTCCCCGGCCCTAGTCGGGGTCGTGCGGGAGGCAACCAGTCAATGTGTCTCTCCCACATCGGTGCTTCTCCCCCCACCTCCCATGCTATCTAAAAATAAATGGAAAAACATCCTCGGGTGAGGATTAAAATAAAACAAGAATCCACGCAGTGAGGATGAGAGAGCCCGGGGTCTAACACACTCCACAGTTGGCTGCGTGGCGAGGGCAGCCGGAAGCACACGTGTGTGGAAGGGTGGAGGGAACCGCTAGCCCAGGGCCTTGAGGCAAGAACGAGCTTGTGCTCACGCCCCAGAGAAGGAAGCAGTGCAGGGAGCGAGGCAGGGTATGGGTGGGGGCTGAGCAGGCCAGAGCATGGCAGTTACGACAAGGTGTTTGGAGTTTACCCAGTGCAGGAAGGGTAGAAGAGAAAATTAAGGCAGTGAACTCACGGAGTTAAATCTCAACCTCAAGGTGATTTTTCTCACTAAGAACAACCAGGCCTAGAGAGTGAGGACCCGGGTCCGCACCCGGGCTGCGCCCTTCCTGCCGGTGGCGCGGAAGGCCTGAGCGAGCCCATCCGGAAGGGAGAGCCGTGTGCACCCTCCCGGGGCTCTGAGGGTCTGCACCACGCTCAGAACGTGTCCCCCACGGGACCTATGTGCAGCTGCTGCTGCTCCGTCTCAGGAAGCCTGGGAAGGGCCCATCTGTCTGCCCTGCCTCCTACCACGGGCTCCCAGACTCAAACGGCCGTTCTGGACCTGTGGCTATTCTGGACCTGTGAGCACAGACCAAGTCCGGACCGAGACTCTGCTGAGAGTTGGGTGGTTCAGGAGCAGCCCACGCTCTGCTTCTCGGGACAACCGGCCTCTCTGTCCGGAGCACAGCGCGCAGCCCTGCGCTGCTCCCGGCTGCCTCCAGGCCGAGCCCGCTGTTCACTCCAAAGGGAGCCCCTGACCTGTTCCTCACGAGCACCAACACCTGGCTGCCTGCCAGCCTCGGGGTACTGGCAGAGTTAAAGTTAGAGACCTCAGCGACAGCGCCTTTCATAAACCCAAACCAGCCACTTAAATCTAATTTTTCTCTGTTATAAGATACATAAAAACTGTATCCTAGGAACTAACCATTTTTAAAAATGAGCCTTTAAGAACCACTGACCCCAGCTGCCAGCCGGGCGGGAGCCAGAGACACATGGCAGGAGCCGGAGACACGTGGCGGGAGCCAGGGACAGGAGCTGGGGACAGGAGCTGGGGACATGTGGCGGTGCCGGGGACAGGAGCTGGGGACATGTGGCGGTAGCTGGGGATAGGAGCTGGGGACAGGAGCTGGGGACATGTGGCGGTAGCCGGGGACAGGAGCTGGGGACATGTGGCGGTAGCTGGGGATAGGAGCTGGGGACAGGAGCTGGGGACATGTGGCGGTAGCTGGGGACAGGAGCTGGGGACAGGAGCTGGGGACATGTGGCGGTAGCTGGGGATAGGAGCTGGGGACAGGAGCTGGGGACATGTGGCGGTAGCCGGGGACAGGAGCTGGGGACAGGAGCTGGGGACATGTGGCGGTATGCTCGCAGAGCTGCGCCATCGGATACGATAACACTGGCCACACGGGGCTCCTTGAGTTCAAAGCAATGACCATTTAAACTTCAGGTCATCAGGTGCACTGACTATAGTTCGGGTGCGCAGTGGTCACGTGGCCGGCGGCGACCACATTGGACGGTGCAGGAGAACATTCCACCAGGGAGACAGCGAGGGGCCTACGAGCAGTGGGCCGTCTCGAGCTCTGCAGACAGACCACGCCCTGAAGACACCTGACAGCACAGCCTCATCTCTGCACCAGCAGGGCGACCCCAGCGAGGTCAGGCAGAACTAGGACCCGGGATCCAGTCCATTCTTTTCCTCTCCGTAAGAAAACTCCTGGACAACCGATTTAGATTAGCCTGGGATTTTAGCAGGAGTACCAAAGATGTGTCCTCTGAACCCCTGCCTGACCTCCAGGAGACCAGAATCGTAACCAGGGCACACAGCTGCAGACTAACTTAGGTTCCCATCCCAGGTGTCACAGGTTCGGTGACTCTGGGCAAACGATATGTTCTCACTCCGTTTCCTCTTCGGCACAAAGGGGGAAATAACAACATCTCTCCGAGGCCGTGTGAGGATGAACCAAGTGGATCTGAGTAAAGTGTTCGGCACACTCCTGCCTCCAGGGGACCGCAGGAGGGCCTGCCCTGAGTACAGTACCTGGTCTCAGAGGGACCTGCTGACCCCCGGATCGTGAGGCTGTTGTGTTCCCACGCGTTTTTCCCAGGGTGCGGCTCTTCCACCTTCCTTCCCATCGCGTGGATGGTCTCGGCAGGCAGTGCCCGTGGTCTCTGGCCATTCCTCTGTAAGCAGGTCTCGAGAGAACAGTCTAAAAAGAGCTGGCAAAAGCCTAATGAATCTGAAAACAATTTGAAACCACAAAATTACTGGCGTATTATTTTCCAAAATGTGAACAAAACACATTAGACAAATTATCCCAGCTGCAGCAGGGAAAACCATGTGCAACAATGAGCCACGGATAGTTTTGAAAAGGAAGTCAATCATCAACCTCCTAATCCAATTAAATTCTCACTGAAGGCAGTAGTGATTTGGATAGGCAAATAAATGTGTGTGTGCATTAAAAAAAAAATGTTTTAATTACATTTCCGAGCCAGTTGGTAGACTTCATATCTCATACTTTGATAATAAAAGTTGTCATCTAAAATCAAAATCAAAGGTCCAGAAACAACGGTCTCTGTCAAGAGGTAGCCAGACTGGCCCTCCCGCGCTGCCGAAGAAAGCAGGCCCTGATGCTTTAAGCAGGTGGTAAAATCTTCCCACATGGCTTCAGTCCTGTTGGGTGGGGCACACATCTGACACCCATTAATGACAGCCACCAAGAAGTATTCCAAGTACTTCAACAGCTCCTGTCGAAGCAGCTTCCACTGGGATGGCTACAAAAGACCAAAGGACTGCAGTTTATATTGGGCTATGGCAGCCATGCCTCATTGCCACCCGGCCCCGTACGACAATTCCGGCCTGCAACACTGAACCATTGATTGGGTGGTCCCCAAACACAGCTTCTTCTCTCGTGCGTCCATGTCCTGCCACAGGACTCCTCCGCGATATGAGTCCTCTGTGAACAATTCTGACTCAGCCTGGTAGAGGGCAGCCCAGACCCTCCCTTGGCTACCATGACACCTGTTCTGCACACACTGGGCCTCCAGTCCAGCAGGGTTTACACGGTGTAGGCATTTGTTTGCCCGGCTCTGTGTCCCTGCTCGTCCTCTGTACACCCCGCCTCCCGCAGAGGGTCTGGCACCATTAGGTAGGTGCTCCAGAAATGCACATTAAGTAACTGAATGACTCAGTGAGTGCATCACTAAATGAAAAGCTGTTACCATCCAGGAGAAAGAAGCCAAATGACATGCCATGCCAAATGACAATAGACTGGCTATGATACAGCAATGCAGGTTTGCCTTTGAAATGAGAACAGTTGTGGACAGAAAGAGAATCAGGTGAAAGGTCCCTGGGTCAATGGGGAAAGACCTCAGGCTAACAAAAGGGTTGGAGTGCGATGGGGAAAGATGGAGGAAGCAGAATGAGGGGACGAGAATACATAGCTTAAAAGTATGTAATCCTGTGTTGCATACATAGCAAGGGCTGTGGAGGGCAGTGACACAGTTATGAGGTCAAACACCAGGGCCGGAGGTCAGGGTCCCTCTCCTACCTACCAGTCCATGCCTTACCACATCACTGAGATCACAGTACACACAACAAACCCATCAGCTAAACTCACTAAAAAAAACCAGTCCAGCCCTGGCCGGTTTGGCTCAGCGGTTAGAGCGTCAGCCTGCGGTCCTGAGAGACCCGGGTTCGGTTCCCGCTAAGGGCGCGTACCTCAGTTGCAGTTTGTCCCCTGGTCGGTTGTGCGGGTGGCAGCCACTCGATGTGTTCCTTTCACATCGATGTTTCTCTCTCTGTGTTCCTCTCTCTCCCTCCTACTCTACCTGAACAAACAAAAAAAAAAAACCAGTCCATGTTAAAGGAGAGAGATCCTTCTTATGGGACTAGATGCGTCCCATGGCCTTGGTCTGCAGGAGGGGTGGAAGAAATGTAAGAGCCAGGAGAAGCCCAGCAAACAGGCAAACCCTAACAATAACCTTCGGCTTTGTCCAGAGTGGGCCAACTAGCACTCTGCGAATCCGGCGCTGCCAGGGACCTGACACTGCATCTATCTCATAATCAGTCGAGAATGGGGGTGTGTGTCACTTTGCTGGAGCAGTCTGACATTTCCCCACACACCAAATGTGCTGTATTTCTGCATATATACTTATAGTGAAATCACATCACATGCGTATTTTATTTATGTGACTTCACCTACATTCAGGCACGAACGACAAAAATAACTCCCCAGCCCAGCAGGGTGGCTCAGCTGGTTGGTGCATTGTCCCGTACGCGAAAAACGTTTCGGGTTCGATTCCGGTCAGGGCACATACCTAGGTTGTGGGTTCAATTCCCCGCACGGGAGGCAACCGATCACTGTGTCTGTCTCTCTCTCAATTTCTCTCTCTTTTTAAATCAATAAAACGTCCTGAGTATTTAAAAAGAAAGAGCTTTAAATTCTTCAGACTATTTCGACCAGAGTGTTTGCTCGGGAGTGCACATGCGATGGGAGGCATGAACCTCTCTCCCGGGCTGTTCGCAGCGGCTTCTCCAAGGGCAGGCTTCTCCCTGCGCGGCGCGGGGCCGGAGGCTCACGGAGGGGTACGGCCCCGCTGGGCCCCATTACTTCATGGGGTCCCCTGAGAAACAGCCGTCCTTCCCCTGGTGGCAGAGGCGGGCTCGCCCTGCGGCGAGGGGGGCCGGAGCGCCGGACCGTGGCGGGAGGGACCCTGGCGACTTGGCTCCTCATTTTGTCTTTTTTCTTAAAAAGGGTTCCCCAGCCGGATGACCTGAAGGCCCCAGACCCTGAATTCCCCCGGGCTGGAGGGTGAGCTGGCTGCACCCAAGGGGTTTGCAAGCGCACTCTGGACTAGGGGTCCCCACCTTGCAGCCAACCGCAGAACCGGCCTGTCCGGTAAGACACCGGGAGACGTAGGACACAGACGCGCCCGTGCAGACGCAGGACCCTCTGCGCGACCTGCCCTGAGACGGGGCCACTGGGCCAGCGCCCCTCCGCGGGACCGCAGCCCGGGGTCCGCGCCCGGCCCCGCGCCCGGCCCCGCCCCGCCCCGCCAGTCTAGGCCTCGGCCCCGCCCCGCCCCGCCCCGCCCCGCCGGACTGACCAATGGCCGCGCGCTCGCCTCCTGCGGGAACACGTCCGGCATGACGTCATCGTAGGCGACGACGCCGACGGCCCAGCCGCGCTCCTGTCGCAGCCGGTGGCTGAGCGCCCGCGCGAAGGTCGACTTCCCTGCGGCGGGTAGGCCGCACAGGACGCACAGGACGCACAGCCCTCGCCTCCGCGGCCCCTCGCCGCGCGCGCCCGCGGCGTCCCTGCCGCTCTTCATGCTGCCCCGGGAGGCCGCGGCCGCCGGAACGTCGTCTGCGGCACGGCCCCGCCCGGCCGCCGCGCGTGCGCAGTCTCCCGCCGCGCTCCTGCGCCCCCTGGCGCCGCGGCGGGGGAAGGGCGAGGCCGAGGCCCGAGGCCCGAGGCCCGTGGTGTGGGCCGTTTCCGAGGGGCCCCGAGGTCACCTGCGGCGCCAGGCGTTTTCTCCAAGGGTCAGAGTTGGAGTCTTCCGTTAGAATCGTCCTCGTGTGGGAGCTGGCAGGCGTTGCCGCATGAAGTCCCCTCCCCAGGAGTCACAGAAGCCACTCCGAACCTCTTCCCCACCCCCCTTGGAAAGTCAGTTACTGAAACTCAAATAGGAGCGGATCCTGGCAATCCGACCCCAGACTCGCTGCCCCTCCTTGGTGTGAGTGGTGCACAGCAGTAGCTGTCAGTCGTGCCCTGACGCCGCGAGTGGGCAGCAGGTGTGAGGAAATAGGACACGAGAGCAACATCCCTTCACCTCAACTCCAGTGCGTTCACGTAGAGTACAGTGGGTATATCAGTGTAAAAAAAAAAAAAAAAACAAGTCCTAAGTGTAAGGAAGGGGGGGCGGGGCGCCGCCGAATAAAACAGAAGAGACTGGAGAGCCAATCAGCCGAATAAACAGGGATCAGGCTTTATTGGGTACATTCCTGGCAGGTTCACAGACTCCGGGGGTCGAGTCCTAGAAGCCGCGCTCAATGTAGGGGCTTGTGTCTTTTATATCTGCCTGTTGCAGCTGGAATTTGGCCCTTAGGGTTTGGCCCTGCGGGGGCTAAGCATGGAGCCTCTGGAATGTGAGTCGATAAGAGCAAGATGGGAGTTAATCTACAAGCTCGAGGCAGGCCGTTCAGGGTGGGAGACAAGGCTGAGCAAGCAAGACAATGGTCGAGCACTTTGCCTGGCGCCAGTCCCCAGGCCATCGGACACTAAGCTGCGGAGAGAGATAAAACAAATTTCTTGTGTGGGGGGATACAGTGGATTAAAATTGAATTTAGATTCTAGCTTTCACGTTATTCATTTTTAAAACCACTTTATTTTTTGTTATTTCTCACCTGAGGATATTTTTTCATTGATTTTTAGATTGAGTGGGAGGGAGGGAAAGAAACATCCATGTGTTCACATTCATTGCCTCTTGCACAACCCCCAACCAAGGCTGGGGTCGAACCTGCAACCAAAGTATGTGCCCTTGGCTGGGAATTAAACCTGGGACCTTTCAGTCTAAGGGCCAACGCTCTAACCGCTGAGCCAAACCAGCCAGGGCTCACTTTATTTTAAGGTATGTTCAAAATGTGAGCAAGTGAGGTTAAAGATCAGTGTATACTGGAGGAAAATGCAACCAATAGCTCAATACCAAATCATGTAGTTGGAGTCATGCCCTTTCCAGATTTGTTTCTTTCACTATCTGCATATTAGTGATAGGCAAAGATTCCTCTGTTTCTGTTCATGGCTTGAGAGCTCACATCTTCTTAGAACTGAATAATGTTGTCTGCATAAACCACAGTTTATTCATTCACCTACTGGTTGTTTCCACGTTTTGGCAGTTATAAGTAATTCCGCTATAAACAACTGTGTGCAGGTTTTAGTGTGTATCTTAAGTTTTCAACTTTTCTGGGTAAATACCAAGGAGCGTGATTACTGGATCTTAGGGTAAGAGTATGTTTGATTTTGTAAGCAACTGCCAAACTGTCTTCCAAAGCGGCTGCACCATTTTGCATTCCCACAAGCAGTGAATGAGAGTTCCTGTTGCCTCGCATCCTTGACAGCACTTGGTGTTGTCAGTGTTTTAGAGTTTAAACATTCTAAGAGTTGTGAAGTAGTATGTCATTATTTTAATTTGAAATTTTCTAATACATGATGTCAAGCTGCTTTTCATGTTTATATGCCATCTGTACATTTTTTTTTTGGTGAGGTGTCTGTTCAGATCTTTTGCCCATTTTTAAATTGGGTGGTTCCTTTTCTTATTGCTGAGTTTCAAGAATTCTTTGTATATTTTTTAATAACAGTCCGTTATAAGGTACATCTTTTGCAAGTATTTTCTCCCAGTGTGTGGCTTGTCTTATCATTCTCTTGGTGGTGGTTTCCACAGAGAAGAAGCTTGTACTTTCATGATGTCCAGCTTACCAATTACTTCTTTCATTGTTGTAACGTGTCAGCGAGACAACCAGACGCACAGCCGAATTGTACAGGAGCACTTGGTTACACCGGGAGGCTGGGGGGGATCTCCCAATCCCAGCCCCGAGCTTCCTTTGTTCTTTGCTTATATAGGAACAAAATACAGAAAAAACTACATTAAAAAAAAAGACAGAAAGAGCTATATTCAAAGAAAAAACTTGCATTCCTCCTGGCTCCACTTAATTGGCATCAGGGCTGATACAGACTTCTCCAGAGGAAAAGGGTCGGTTGCAGGGGTTAGGGCAGTCATTAATTTCTTCCTTTGTTATGGTCTCTTCAAGTTTCCCAAGGCCATCATTAACCCCTTATCTTCATGGTTCCTCTGGGTGTCAGTCCCAGGTTTTTTAGAAAACTGTTTGGGTGTTTATGTGCGGGAATAACTGATCAGAATGGAGTTTGTTTTTTAAATAGCCCAGTTCACATGAAGCTTTTCTAGGATCAAGTTTTATTAAAATCTCTTTGGGATTCTGATTGGAATTTTATTGAACCTGTAACTCAGTCTGTTAATAATATTTAGGTCCAATAATTATCTCCTAATAAAATTTTGTAATTTTCCCTATAGATGCCATATATAGATATCTTTACAACTTTTAATTCCTAGTTAGTATTATCTAATATTGTAAATTATACTCTCACCAATTATGTTTTCTATTTCTTTCCTGTTCTTGTAAAGAAATGCAACAGATTTTTGTATATTTTATATCCTGCTGCCTTGCTAGCTTTGCTTATTGGTTGTACAGGCCAATTATTTTGTAGAGTGTCTCTCATTTTGAGTGTACCTGATGTTTCTTCATGATTAGATTTAGGTTATGTATTTACTCAGCAAAGACTACCACAGCAGTGATGTATTCTCAAATGAAACACACAATGTTGGTTTTCCCCATCATTGGTGATATTCATGTTAGCTGGTTGATTAACATGTCTCCCCGGTTTTTCCACTGTAATACAACTTTTCCTCTTTGTAACTAATATCTTACAGAGTGATACTTGGAGACATATCCTGTGGGAATATCCTGTTTCTCACAAAGCTCTCACCATTTTGATCAATTACAGCTATGATGGCTGTCAAAGGGTGATTTCCTAACTCTGTCCTTTCGGACATTTAATCATTTTTATCAGAATTGATTTATAGATTTACTCAGTGGATTCTATGAGTGTTCATGCTCGAACTGTGCTGAGAAGGCAGGCCTGGTGCAGCTGCTCAGGCAGTGCAGCAACGCCTCCCTTGGCTTCCGGAATGTGATTCCCGTACATTGCCAACCTCCTGAACTGCAGTGGAACTGGAAGCCACCCCCCAAATGCCCGGAGGCTTATCGTGTATAAAAGGTGGCTGGAACCCTGGCTCGGGGCTCAGCCTTTGGAGGTGGCTCCCCTGGGACAGTACCAGTGCACATTAAACAGTCCTTTCTAGTCCTCCGAGGGTGTTGCAGTCTGTCTCTTCCCACCGATCGAATTTCAGAGTTGCAAAGTGGGAGGCCCTTCAGGCTGACTCTTGTGTCCTTTGGTCATGCCCCCCCATCCTTCTTTTGAACATTTTCATATTTTATGGCACAGCAGTATGTTCCAGATCCATCTTGTCCTTCCCTGCCCTAGCTCTGGAAGCAACCATTTCTTCAAGAAGCTCTATTTTTTTGTTTTGTTTTTAGTGGAGACTGGTTCTCAGAAATCAAGATTTGGCTCTGACAGGTGTGACTCGGTTGGTTGGGTGTTGTCCTGTGCACCAAAAGGTTGCTGGTTTGATTCCCCATCAGGGCACATGCCCAGGTTTCCGACTGGGTCCCCAGTAGGGGGTGTGCAGGAAGCACCCAATCAATGTTTTGTTCTCACATGAATGTTTCTCTCTCTCTCGCTTCCTCTCTCTCTAAGTCAATTTTAAAAATCTTAAAAAAAAAAAAAAAGACTCATTTCAATAAAAGAAATAAATCGAGATCTGGACACTAAGTGTGCTCATTGTTATGGATGTGCTATTGCTTACTATCTCAGCAGAGAGAGATGGGAAATCTTTACTGTCCATCCAGCCATCCATCATGAGTTCACAAGAGTACCTTCAATACCAATGCAACACCTGAGAGTTCGTTTTAGAGGTTCTCTTTTCCATCTTTGTAACTCCTTTGTCTCTCAGTGAGAAACCTGGTTCTTACTGTCCTCAGAATATACTTACTTGCTCAGTTCTGAAATAGAGAAACTTTTAAATAGCTTTTCCATGCCACTGAACAAACCCTGACCTGGGCCCGAGGCTAAGGTGACTAGATTCCATTCTCATGTGGGCCTCTTGGCTAAGACGACTAAGTAGCTCCATTTTTATCACCAATGGACCTTCCTCAATATTTTTCCAAAAATAGGTTAATTACCCCTAGAAGTAAAGGAATTTCGCCTAAGATTATAGTTGCCCCACGTGTTGGGAGGCATTTGCAGTTTCCAGGATCGGTATTTGCAGACATTTGCTGTACTGGTAATTGCAGGCATTTGCGGGTATTCGTGAGCCTGGTGAATAATGCTAATTTTGACTTCTGTAATCGCTGTCACGCCCATTATACAGGTTCTCGGAGGGGGGGGGGAAGAAGGATGGGGCTTCTGTCTTTAAAATCCGACAAGCAAGAAGAATCGTTGCTGCTGATCTGCGGGGAGACTGTGCCCTCCGCAGCCCGCTGGCGAGAATAAGGAGCTCCTTTACAAGTTGGCTGTGCGTCTCTGGTTATCTCACTGACATAACAACCCCATGAAAGTTAAACTGTAACGAAAAAGATTCAGACTGAACACCAGAGGAAGTGATGTGATTCTTTTATTCACACATGAGGACCCAGA